TTTTTTTTTGCATCTCTTTTTTCTTTTCCTTTTTTTCTTGTTTGGGTTTTATTTACAACCACATGATATCACATTTCTCACAAGTCCAGCTGATAATATCTCGACCACTTGTTGATGTTAACATGTGATCCATTTATTATTAATTTCTTCTTGTTGGGCAGGTTGCTGTTTGTAGGAGGCTAGGCATAGAGGAACCCCAGCTGATGAAAATTATTCGGGCCACCCTCAATTCACATAGTGAATGGTTCAAGCTCCAAATGTGCAAAGACCAGTTTGAGAGTCTCATGTGGATCCACTCTTTGAAAGAAATCGGTGGCCCTTTGCTAGGAGATGCTGCCGCCAAGTCCTGTATCGACACTGGCACACAAGGATCTTCGCCGGCTACAGTATCTTCCAGCAACATGAGGATTCAGGAAGATAACAGCAGCCCTAATCAGACCACGTCAAGTGATATTGGATGCGAGGAAAGTGCCATCTTGAAAGTTATGGTCAGTTTTACCATATATATATAACAAAATTATATCAAATCAAGTCAAGAAACCTGATTTGACATCTTATCCTACTTTTATACTAGGTGAAAGTGTTTGTCAATGCAGAAAGTATATTTGCTTGTGGAGTATTACTGAATTTTTGTTGTTTTTTTTTTTTGGGTTCAGGAATTTCTCGCCCTTCCTAGGGCTGATGCTATTCATCTACTTGCACAGTACAATGGGAATGCAGAAACCGTGATCCAGCAGATATTTGCTTAGCTTAATACACAGTGTATATCAGATATAGCAAAACACAGTCCCCATTGTTTTAATTGGGCTGTAACTGTTTTGCGGTTAGACACGTTTAATTTAAGCAATTAGTTAAGATTAGGGAAAAATAGTCTCTATTTGGAGCTTGTGAATATGGACTTTTTGACACTCCCCGCGAACATAATATGGGTTTGTTTATTCTTTGAAGGTTTTGCTGAAATAAGGGAAGTCCAGGAGACTACTTGTACAAGAGTTAATCCGACTTTTTTTTATCACCTGTCGTGGAATATGACTACGATGCATATGAGTCACAAAGATATTTCATCACTTGTTGAGAGATGATTGTGTATGCAAGCTTTTGGATACGATGTGAACTGTTTAGTGTTACCGTGTTGAAATTGCAACTTAGAAGATCCAAGTGAGTTCGAGCTGCTTGGTGTAACTGGGTTGATAATTGATACAAGATTAGGTTAGTTCGACTTTTTACCTCGTTTATAGTAGTGATCTATCATTCCCTCTTAATGGGTGGATCCTGCTTGCCACAAAGGGTACCCACTTCCCGTTACTTCACGTGTGAATAAATCATATTCGCTTAGCTCATTTTGCGGCCATCATCAACTCCAGAATTCAAGTTGACCCACAACAGAAGAATAATGGCGGTTACATTTTATTCATGCACCGATGAAAAATGCAGCTGGATGGTGGTTGATAGGTGATACTACCAAGTAGCAAAATGAGCAACAATTTTAAACATGACAAACACACCATTGACGAACCAACAGAATAAATTACATGATCCAAAAAAATGAAAACAAGAAAAATAAAATAATGAAAGGGGAGTTGAAGGGGATGCTATATTTGCAAAGAAAAAGGAAAATTATTCACCTTCAACTGTGTATTAGAAAAGTACAAATCGTTTTAAGGACATCCTGTAATATAAGTTATTCCTCTAATTCAAGTTTTCTCAACATGACATCTGTTTAGGCACCCCTCTCTCATTCATGTTGCCACAGGTCCACGAACCATGCCAAGCATCTCAGTTTTGATTTTATAAATAACTCGTCCAGGTTGGGACCTGCTCTCTGTACAATTACCAGGATCTCTTACTCTTCATCTTGAAAACCAATTCGTTTTTCCCTTTGTTTTACGAGGTAGAGGGGAAAATGGCTTCTATATTGGCGCACAATGAGCCCGTCTGTCATATGATGCACAACTCAAAGAGTATTTACACACACAAGCCACTTCAGAATAAGTTCACTAGCATCCCTGCAAAATATTAAAATTAATTAGATTTCACTGTAGGACTATGCTTTGCAAGGGAACTCCAATATCAGCTATTTGATTTCCAACTCCACCCCGACAAGTCTGCAATGGATGCACTTCTTTTGAGGGCAAAATTTGTTTGTTTTCTAGGAAAAAAAAATGTTAATTAACAGTTAGTAATTTTGAAAAGATAACTGGCCACTTTGGAAAATATATGCTGAATCTCAAGAATAGTGCAGATCCGGAAAAATAAACTAATTCCAATAAATTCCCAACTTCTGCTGACTGTTACAATGTGGTCCTAACCTTTTAGCTTTTCGCAAATTGATTCCCAGTAAAAATTCTTGCAATATTTCATATCATAGGCTTGTCATTTTAAATTTTAACAACATAAATAGCACAATTTAAAACTGACTATTACAAGCAGTCCAGCGTTGCGTTCCGGTCGACAATATAACCAAAATCTCAATAGAGGGACCTATTAATATAAAAGAATAAGAGTGGCATGCAAAAGTTGAAGATTGGGACTACATTGCAATTCGCAAAAAAGGTTAGGTAATTTTCTGGCACAAACCTACTTTAAGAACTACCACAGTAACAGAATGTGTCTAATCTGCTCCAAAAAAATACATCAATCAAAAGAGAGTAAATATAAAGCTTCGCTAGGCAATGATTGGAGAATTAATTTAAACCATAACATTTCAGGGGCTGCAAATAGCGGGTTATTACCTTTAGCAAGTCTTCCATCACCTGCCCTGCACCACCTTGTAGTTAAGCACAAGGTCATCAGGTTTCTTCCATATGTATGCTCGTACAGTGGCCAAGCTCATTTCCGGAGGCAAGACCTGCGGAATGCAAGAGTATTAGAAAGCACATAAACTATCGGGTCCTGTTAATATTGGAGAGAGAGAAGAAGAGAGCTCAATTATGCCCAGACAAATCTCTTTAACTGGAGATGCTTTTCTTTTCTTCTCATTCTTATAAAACACACACACACACACACACACACACACACACAAACAAAATTGTAGCCGAGTGCTTTCCATGTCCACAGCCAGCCAATTCTGAAGCCCTTTGGGCATTCATTAGTTTCAGACTTGCCTGATTATTGCACATGATCTCAATAGAAGGCTTGAGTTTTTGCCAAGGTTTCAGTCCCGAACGGAAGGAACTATCTCCAACAGATGGTATTGAGATATGACCACCAGGCAACCCGGGAGCAAAATTTCCATCACCATTTACGACATCCATTGGCTTATCAAGAACCATCTTTTCTATGACATAATTGACAACCTACAAAACAGATTGTTGCAACATCAGGGGCTCACACATATTAATCATAGAAAAACCAAATACTAGTAGGGTATATTGTGCACCGAGGAAGTTTTTCCAACTCAAACAAAAACTTTCAACAAGAATATTTCCAAATTGTTGGTTTTCTCCATTAAAACTACTCGACTACATTACTTAATATTACTAGCATCCGAAACTAACATCATTGGACAATGTAGCAATTAGAAACAAGTTGACCAGATATTGAATTAAGTACTTCAGTTCCAGGCAAAATAACGGAGATTCGGTACTTCGTTCCAGGCAATAATAGACAGGTACAAACATCACATGCAAACCACCGCTAACATCGAACACTTGAGTTGGTTCACTTTAACCAATCAAACCAGTATGCATGATCTTAAGGTTAAAATTGATCTGTGTTTTTCTTTCACCGCTCGTGCAAAAATGAAAAAGTTTTCCACTGTAATTAGATTAAGTCATCCTTAAACTAGGGAGGAGATTCTCACTTTATGTATTCTCAAAATGCGAGGTGCACTAAGTTTGCCCTGGGTAAGGATTTGCACAGTAGAACCTTCACATGGTTGCAAATAGAAGCTACATCTGCAATAAACAAAAGTTAAATGTAAATGGCACATCACAAATGTAACATCCAGAAAATAGGAAGGGAGGAGAAGACGACAGTAAGATGATCAGAGGGTGGTCAATAAATCTGGTAAAGGACAACACAAAACGGTTTAGAGATTGGAATAAAATATCAAAAACAAAAAGTTCCAACTTCCATGTAACAAATACAACTCATTAAAGAGAGTTGAGACAAAACCAGATATACAAGCAGCAAACCAAAACGGAGCATCATCGCCAAACGAATAAATATTAACAAATTCACGAAAACTAAAACTAAAAAGGCTGGTCCAATGTATAATCACTGTGCTCCAAACATCTGATTATGTAAACAATGAAGGCATCTAAGATCAAATGGTAAGAAGGTATGCTAAGTGCTTCCGTTTTTAGAAGATCTCTGCACATGTGTTTCAAAGAAACACATAACCAATTAATTGTGTAAAAATTCAGGAAGATTCACAAAGAAGCCATTTGTAATAAGGATTGATAAGGAAATTACTTGCTATTCTCCCTCGGAGGCAGGCGATTGTTCAACACACAATCAAGAACCCACCAAGGGAAGTCTTTCTCATCTTCGGATCCATCCAGGTCAGTAATTTTCTTTCTCCAAGGACCTCCATGAGTGCCTTCGGTAACAATAGAAGGAGGGGCAGCTGAAAAAAACTCAAAAGGCGGATACACCGTGGAATCATTTTCAATGAAACCATCTCCGCCTTCAACTCTAGATAATGTTACCGTCCTTGTAGGCAAAGCATTTCCTGAAGGAATGTCTCCATTTGCAGAAGTTTGAGATCCAAACCTCTGCTTTCGTCGAGTTGACCAGTGTTGCAACAGTCCTTTGAGGGTTTCTCTTGCCAAATTGATCTACATATTCATAATTCATCAAACACTGACTTCACAATAATCAGGACACGCATAAAAATTGTACGGATAAGAGGAAGTCAGAAAACCTTTTGAATACATTCACAAATGAAACAATCAGAACCCAGTCCTACCTAGCAGAACTATAAGTACCCAGCTTAAGACTACAAAAACAATTACAAACGCAGATTATGGCAACGCCCAATGTGTGCATCTTGATTAAAAAATATGGACCAGAAACCAGTAATAGACGATTCACCGCATAGCAAATATGCACTTATTAAATACTTAAAGATAATTCTCATGTAATTACCTTGTCATCCTCAGGCTTTTCTGCAATGCTGAGATCAATAGAGTACATCTCAGCAGAAAAGCATTGTGGAGTGTCTAAGTGTACAGACAAACTCCCAAGCCTTGTATCTACAGTGAACCATGCAGGAACACTTACCTGTACAGACAAACATGTCAACCCAGTCGAGAGGACAATTTACGATGTAGCAAGTACAAATAAAGATGCATACCATCTCAAACAATTCTTCTTTCTTCTTCTCAAATGAAACCTATTAACATGAAGTACAGAAAGGTCAGAAACCATGGGAAGCAAACCGGAAAGGGCGCTAAGGGAAAGGCCGAATCACCAGTGGGCAGCCTCTTATGGTCCTCTCAGAGATGAATCACCTTGAAAAAAATTAATTTCCAAAACAAAATACTAACCTCTCCATAATTATCAATAACCACACCTCTAGTAATTTCCCACAACTTCACCATGCCGGCAGTATCCTTGAAAGGTAAGGTAAGGCAATCAATTTTTAGCACAAAAAGTATAAAAGAAAAATAACTATATAGAATATCAATACAAGTTATGAATGGGCTAACAGATACATAAAGTTACCTTTGTCAGGACATGTCTTCTATTGTTTAAAATCTCATGCTGTACAATGGCCGAAATCCCAGGAATGCTAAATGATGGTTCTCTATAAACAGGAACCTTAGAAAAAATGATTGTGACTTTCTCAGCTTTAGCAAATTATATAACCAATATAAAAATGCCTGATGGAGGATTCAAGGGGTTAACATGAAACATCAATTCAGAGTGCATAACAATTTATTTGGTACTATAGTTGAACAAACATTCTATTGCCAGTTCGAGGTAAATCATGAGTAGCAATACGACAGAATAACAGACGTAATTACAATGTAAAAAGTATGTTGAAGGGCAAAAGAAAGAAAGAGAGACAGTGCCCTGAAGTCAATCAGAAGTCAATCAGGTACAGGTCTTTTGGAAATGCTATGATTTACTTTCTGTTATATAAAAGACTTCCAGTTTACATGAAGTGCAGCCTAAGAATACATAACAAGTCTACATTAAGCAACTCTTGTTCGGGTCCAGATTTATTCAATCAAAAAGGAGAGATGACACTTCCAAAAAAAAAAAGTATCCAACTCAGTGTTGGGAAGACCAAAAATTTAACTGTGCACTAAAGCAACAGGAGAAAGGAAATTACTCACAGGAGTGGAACCCTCAATTGAAGCCCTGGCTCTCGAAAATGACAAATTTCCAGCCAGAAATGAACCACCTCGTTGAAATACTTTCATTGGATTATGTGCTTCAGCTGGCCATCTATGTACAGAAGAATCAGTAGTGGCAACCCATATACTATCATCATGCAATGCCAATTGCAAGATAGGATGATCTTCGTTACAGAGCAGTACACTTTCTCTAGTTGCCAGATCTGTCAGATACAACTAAAAGTAACGAAAGACATTAGAACAAAATAGGTGGAATATTAGATGAATATAGGGAGCAAAGCTTTTGAAGCTGCACTCACGGAAAGATCTCTTCCACCACTATAAACATGACTAAACGATGGAGAGCTGGCAAGCGCCCAGACAGAATCAGTGTGCACAGCATAGGAGTGCACACACCGCTGTTGGCCAAGATCCCACAACCTGTGAAGTCAAGAATCGATGGAATTCTCTCAATGAAATTGGAAGGCTGTTATGATGTACTATGAATGATGAACTGAAATAAATTTAGAATCCATGCTTCTATATAGATAGTTAGATACACTCACAAGTAAACCATTTACATCCCTGAAACCAAAATCTCATGGTTTGAAAAAAGCCAATAACTTTTAGGAAACAATATCTGCAAATGACAAAGCGAGTAAATGGCAACGGGAACAAGGCCACAACGGATTCAGGTTTGGTTCTGGTGAACATTTTCAGGTCACGCATACTACATCAAGTCTTGCTAAAGTTAAGAAATTTGTACCCAGAAAAATTGATGTAGATTGACTTAAAATAAATAAATATATAATATAAAATAGTTGTGACTTCTTGGTTTTGTTGCTCTACATGGTTTATACTAGACACATCATGGTGGCTTCTTGGGGTTATTGGTGATTCTAAAAACTGCATACCTGATCATAGAATCAGAAGACCCAGATAAGCAATACCTGCAAATCATCAAAAACACCTATATAAACTTTGCAGATACTTCCATAAAAACAAAAGGTGTAATAAATATAGAGAATGCAGTACAGGGGGGGTTCTATATTCTCCATGGTTACTGAGAAACTGTGGAGTGCATTATAGTAACATTAATTGACATGGTCGAGCAGGATATGCACAGAAAGGGAAGCAGATTGTACAAATATATTCTGACCACTCCTACTAACCTGCCAGTAGAATCCAACAGTAGCGCCCTAATATTATCTGTGTGCCCTCTAAGCTTCATGGTTTTTGAACCAGTTCTTGGGTCCCAAACTCGCACAACCTATGATTAAATTAATCACACAAAACTGGAGAAGATCAATTATATTAGGTAAACAGGCATAAGAGCAGCAGTGGGAAACATAGTACACGCATTTACATACATACATACGTATAGATTGTAAATAAACAATCCAATATTCATTCAAACAATCCGGACTTACCCTTTCAGTTCCACCAGAAACAAGAAGTGTTCCCCGATCATTGGTGGATAATGCATACACCGACTCTTTATGACCCTTGGCAGTAATTGGAACGTATCCTTGAGATTGAGTAGAATGCACAGAGATGTTATTGCTTGAGCCGGTGGGCCGAAGGCTTGTGTTCGATAATGAAGTGCCCAATCCATTGACCGCTGTGGAGCAGTCATCTTCTGCTGCATCATTTGATTTGGAGATGGGAGCAAGTGCAGCTTCAAGATCCCATATAAAGACCTCTCCACCGAGGCCAGCTGAGGCTACAAAATTGCTCTGTAATATATCAAACATATCAACACTGATATGAGGTAATAGATCAGGTCTCCATATGCTTATCAAGCAGCATAAGAGCTATATTAATAAATTTAGACAAGGGAGATTACTTTTTTCTCCACAGCAGCAAGGCAGGTGACATAGTCCGAATGCTGACGTAATGTCCTCACACATTTTCCATCAGACAAAAAATTCCACACCTAATATTGCCACGAAAAAGGAAATAAAAACATCATACACGAAGTTAAACACATCTTAACCATGAAGGCGAGGTTTGCAAACCTTAACAGTGGCATCCGATGAACAAGATACTAATTTGTTACCACCTGCAAGGACAGCATCATTCACCTGCCCAGCCAACAGGTTCAGACATAAATTTCTAAGATTATACATAAAAGAGTGACAGATATAAAATCAATACTATCTAAGCTTCAAGAAATTGAAAAGTTTAAACCTAGCAAAGCATTCTGTGCATCTTAGAACATCTTCTCTCACTCTAGCTTGTTACAAGATTAAACAATCTAATACTGGTACATCATTCTCCCTACGTAGTAAGTCGAAATACATATACCCTTAAAACAGTTCCATAACTTTTTGGAGGTTACAGCTCAACCATCATTTAGACCAGATAATGCATAAACTTATAGAATTGAGACCATCAATTGCAAATCCACTTGCTTATCTACTCACAACAAGCAATTCATACGATAGTGGAATACTAAAAGGTAAAATTGGCCCTGCTTATCCAAGGATAAGCAATAAATTAAGTTAACTGCCACCTACATTCCAGTATAGCAGCAGTGATCCCATTAACAACAGCTGGTGTGGTTTAAGTGTTTTAATAGGATGTCATTAGGCATTATAAGTCTTCAACATAAATTTTGAACGCCAAGATGTGCAAAAATGCTTAATCAGAGATGGAGCAACCTACCCAATCAACATGGGACTCAAATGTAGCAGAGCAAGTCGCACCATCTTCAGCCAATGACCATCTCTTTAGGGTACTATCACGACTACCAGTAATGAGGGTATCACACTCATCTGGTCCTGGTGACTTCAATACAGCCAAACAGTTTATACCAGCACAGTGCTGCAAATGATAAAAATAGATAGACATAAGTGTTAATAAGAAACCCGAACATATCATGCTTTACATTTTTACATAACAATATATAGGGGAGTGATGATAGTTCACAAAAATCATTTTGTAATCTAACTTCACATCAAGGTCTAGGAGCTAGAAGTATTTTTCAGTTGGAAAGTTACGAAACAGTGACACGACAAGCATGACGTCAAATTGGATAAAACCCAAGAAATATAACATGATAGAAGAAATACTCCATAATCGTGCATCCAAAAAGGATGATGAAAGCTGGAAATAGAGCATATTATGATGGAAGTTTCAGTACATGGAGTTCAACATTCGCCAAGATAACATATGATTGATCCACGAAAAAACATGTTCAATAGTCAACAATACAACAAGAGTTACCACTTTTTTTGTGTGAGTGGGAGAGAGAGAGAATGATAGGCACTACCTTAGTATCATCTGCATCATTTAGAACATATGTCAGCCTCTTTTCCTTGCGCGTACGCACTGAATTACTTCCATTTCCTGCACTTGCAACCCGATGCATTGCAAGATCCCTGAAACATATAGAAAAAAGAGACTAATGGCTCCCTCAAACCGAAAGAAAGGATAGTCATAATGTGGATCACATATTTCAAACATTCATTATCTTTTTCTAGTCATGCTACTGTAAATCCATTAAGGTACAACATTGAGTCAGATAATAACGCACAGATCTATCAGTTTAATCTTATATCTTTGGTAGGAAGACAAACTAGGTACATTTGAATATTCTCAAGTCGCAAGGCATGCTGTTCTCCGCTGAAGTCCCTACTGAATAACCAACATATAACCAGGGTTAAGCACTGTGAAACATGAGCGTTATATACCCTTGAGCTAATACGAGCCACCACTAGGTGATAGTTTTCACAGGCTAGTGTTGTCTTTGCTAATGATAATGTATTTTGACATTCATAAATCCACCAAGTAACATTTATCCGACAGTTCACCCGATGACCGTTTCACAAGGAAATTCTGATATCCATATTCATCAACACAACTCCATTTTGTGAAAAAAAAAAAAATAATAATAATAATAATAATTGCAATGCAATAAATAAATTTAAGAATCAATATGTTCCATATTGATTACCACATGAGTAAGGAAACACAAAAAAATCTCCATACTTTTTATCATTTTAGTAACGGCCACGTTCAGATGGAAAACTAGGTTCTACACAACATAAGGTACAAGTAACCTACAGCTGAAAGGGCTAAACCACGAGGGCTAGAAACCTCAGAGTAAGAATGGCGCACAAGATGCTCACTAAACTACAAGGAATAACCATAATGTTAGATTTTGGATTCAAACACAAAATAAACCAGGAAAGCCGAATCTGAAACAAAAATTGGGATAACTCGAAGTCCACAATCACAAAAATCGCCAAGCAACAAGCAAAACGGTTTTCCATCACAAATTATACCCGCACCACTAAAAGAAAATTAAGAGCAACAGATGAAAGTCCAAAAAAACAAGGCCGCACACAGCGATCGCAGTTGAGCTCCGCAGTACCAGTATGAAAATCCGAATAAAGAATAGTTTGAATAATTACCTTCTCTAGCAGCTCCAAAAGTGAGATTCAGATGAAAAGTAATACGTCTGTGGAAGTACAAATTCCGAAAAGAAGGCGGAGAATCGAGCGGAGTCACGGCGGACAGGGCAAAACAACGGCGGAGGTGCGGTCGAGAGAGGAATCGGAGGGGATAGGGCCGAGAATGGAGGACTACTTGGTCTCAGTGTTTTATTTCTTCTCGTTTTTTAGTTTTTTTATTTTATTAATTAATTAATATTTTGTTGGGCAAAATATATATATAGACGAGATTTGGAAATGACTGCTGGCTGAATAATTCCAGTCAACAGTTTCGGTATTATTGATAAAATCTTTTGAAATTATCCTATGAGTTTTTATAATAATAAATTGATGAAAAGATAAAAAAAGAGTACTTTTTTTTTTTATTTTTGTTCAAAGGAAGGAGGCAAAACCTAAAACGGTTAGATAATTATATGTCGTAAGTACGCAATGCCAACGAAATCATGCTGTAACCATGGCTTAACGGCCGACGATTGATTTGGGAGCCGTTGATAACCACTCGGACACTGGTGAGCTAGAGTCGCCAAACAGTCGGCCGCAAAATTGGCTTTCCTATAACAATAAAGCACACTACCCACCCAATCTCAACCAAGAAGCTCTCTTATTGCCCGAATCAGGCTGCTAATATACGAGGAAAAATAATATTATATAATTATATTCTTACATGTAATTATTTTTTTATATAATTTATTTAATATGGTTTGATATTTCAATGTATATTTATAGAGGTAACATTTATGTGCAAAATATTTGCATGCATTAAAATATGCAAAAGTCTAATCATTAAACCTATTGCATATATATGTTGATAAAAAAAATTATATTTAATAATAGGAAAATGTTACAAGTACATAATAAATGTACATAGAGATGTACATAACACTCACATGGAGTGAGGTCCACTTAATTTTTTATTTTTGGTAGGTCTCACTCAATGTGAGTGTTATGTACACCCTTATGTACAATATTATGTACCTATAGTATTTCTCTTAATAATAAAAAATAAACTATTTAGTAATATTAATTAAATAATAATAATGTAGTGCAATTTTAAAAAGTATATTAAATTTAAAACAACGGTTTCTCTTTATAAAAAAAATTAGTATTATTTAGTTAAGGTTCATGTAATATACGGATATTGTATTTACCAAGTATCAAATCAATAGAGGTACTGTAGACTGTAGTGGGTGAATAGATAAAAGATTGATATTATAAATTTAAAATAAAAGAGTTGAACAAACGTGTAATTGGGAGGAAGAGCACTTCAACATGTGATAATTGTGTAATAAATTATAATAAACTAGAAGTTTTTTCATATCGCTTTTTTTTTTTTTTTGGCACAAAAGAAGAGAGGCTAAAACGCCTAATTAGTGACGGTTAGATGGTTCGTGCACGGGCCACTTCAACGAAGTCATGTTGTAGCCAATGACGAAGACCTTCCGGCGCAACAGTAAAGGACCGGTACCCCAAAGGGCCTTTCCCTGCGAAGGAAGCCAGATAATCGACCGCATAATTCGCTTCACGGAATACATGTTGCACTTTCACCTCCCAAGGGCGACTCAAGAGTTCTTTGATGCCCGACAGTAGACCCAGATGCACGTCCGGAACATCATCAAGGGATGTAGCGAAGGCCACCACACTTGCATTGTCCACTTCCGCTACAACGCGTCTATATCCCAGTTCCCATGCGAGTGACAGGCCCTGGAAAAAACCCCATAATTCTGCCGCCATGATTGAGCATACACCTATGTACAATGTAAATTCATCGAGCCAGTGTCCTTGTTCATCCCGAATCAAGCCCCTCGCGCTTCCCATGCCAGACGACGGCGTAAACGAATCATCCGAATTAATTTTAATCCAACCCAACGGAGGCCTTTCCCAACTTATCCACTGAGATGTTCTCGACCGGCCCATCTCCCCAAGCATACGGGCTCCTTCAGTCACCTTCACCATCCCCTCGAGAAAACAAGAGATTCCGTGCAAACCACCCTCGACATCACGAATTCTCAAAACAAGAGATTTCATATCGCTTCTTCAAACTATTGCATCAAATAATAATCAAACACATAATTTAAATTGGTGTTTGAATATTGTGGTTAATATATAAATACTATTGAAATATATAGAATATTTTATTATTTATGCCACTAGTGGATAGAGTGAGCAGAACCGAGTCGAAACAAAAAAAAAAAAAAAAATAGTTGAATCGATGTACTCAGTGAAGTGCGATTTGGTTTCTAAATAGTGCGGTGTGGTTAAGATTTTGAAAAACCGCAAAAAATCGGTGTTGTGCAGTTCTAACTGAACCCATTGTTTTCCAACCCGGACTGACCCGGCTGGTCGGCCCGAGACCCGGCCGACCCGAAGCTGGAACTGGTCGGGGTGAGCTATTTGGACCGGGTAACAACGGACCCGGTCAAACTCGGTCAAAACCCGGGCAACCCGGCCTTCACTCGGTTGACCCGCGCCATTGACCCGACCGGGTCAACCCAGTTGACCTGGTCCATATATATATATATTAATATTATTATGTATAAAAATAAAAACTATGTAAATATATTGATATAGTTAATATTTACTATGAGATACAATTTTTTAACACTTTGATGTACAAGTTTTATATAAAAAAACATTTATATTTGTTAGTTTTATGTATATATATATATATATATATATATATATATATATATGTCAAAAATACTATATATATATTTAAAAAATTTAAAATTAACTATCTGGTTCAGCAAGTGATTCGGTGACCCAGCGGTTGAACCGGTGACCTAAAGACCTGTCCGGGTTGATTTTCGGGTCGGATTTAAAAATTATGACTGAATCGCACCTAACAGCTTTAGTGTATATTTGATATTATAGGCCGACCCTCTTCAACTTCTCTTTCTCCTCTTTCATTCTTCTTCTTCTTCTTCTTCTTTTTTTTTTTTCCAGGTTTTGCTTGCTTCTCGTAACTTATTTCTTCTTCTAGGTCTTTTTTTTTTATGGGATTCTTTTCCGGTTTGTTAAAATTTCTATTTTTTATTTGCTATATTTTGGGTTGGAGTGACTGTATGCAGAGCCGGTCCTGAACTTTATAAGGCCCTGGGCGGAATGTTCTAAGTGTTGTCCTTGGTTGTTTTAATTTTTTTTAAATAATAAAAAAAATACAACTCGCAATAATAAAAGTAGAGAAACTTAAAACTAAAATATAGCTAAATTTTATAAATAATATTTAATGAAATTCTTAAGAACCGCAAATGAAAAAAGAGAAAATCAATTTTTATTCAAAGAAAAAAGGCAGTTAAAGCTCCAAACTTTCATTTACTTTAAATATGTGACAAAAGTTTAGAGAAGTACATAATACTCGGTTATAGTTATATATATTTTTTTATTGGAAAGTATTAATTTTTAATATATATTTAACAAAGTTAAATAAAAAATCAAAATTAGAAACTCGTCTGAAATGAGTTGAATTCACTTAACCCTTTTATTTGCTATCACTAACATAATTGAATTGCCCAGTCATAAAAAAATATTTAATATATTCAAGCAAGAAGACAAAATTAGCAAAGTATTAAAAGAATATATGCAATAAAAATAATGATTTCACTAATAATAACTACTACCTCCTGTTCATTATAAATGTCGTTTTGACTTTTGTGATTCATCCATTTTGTTATGTATCTAGACATTAATATGTACATAACAAAATGGATGAATTAAAAAAGTCAAATCGACATTTATAATGAATAGGAGGGAGTACTATCTAATTTTGTTATGAAAATTAGAAGGTTGATAAAATATAAAAAGCCTTGTTAAGAAATAAAAAAATATGATTTAAAATCAATTTTATATTCAATATTATATTTAGTAATTAATATATTTACAATATATATACATATATTGAAAAATATATAAAAAATGG